GTCTGGAAAACCATATCCTTTTATGAGACTATGCAGGAATTTAATTTTAAAGACCATATAATGCCAATATCTAAAACTGTAGTTTCCACAATTTTGACTCATTAGAAAATTTGCTAAAAAGACAGAAAGATAATAATTTCGACTCCAAGTTGTCTTAGCTCTCTATAAAATATGTGATTATGATCTTGAATTAGATTATTGTCACTTCGAATTCATGCGTTGATAGCTATATTATGACTGCTTAGCTATTAAGAATCTTATTTTTACATGTACCGCAACTGGTTTTCAGGAAAATTTGATAGAGTTCTCGAGATTTTCAGTAAAATGCAAGATGCAGGGGTTCAACCAGATAAAGCTGCATGCAACATTTTAGTGGAAAAATGCTGCAATGCTGGGGAAACGCAAGCAATGATGAAAATTCTTCACTACATGAAGGAGAAGTTTCTTGTTCTGCGTTATTCTATCTATAAAGAGGCTCTTCACACGTTGAAGATAGCTGGGGTGAGTGATCGGCTACTCAGGGATGTCAACCGTCATCTGTCCTCAGAAAAGTTCAACCATGATCAGATTGACAGATCAGATGGAACCACTGAAAGTACTTGTCTCACTTTGGATGATAAGATGATTTTGTACTTATTGAATAAGCAAAGTCTTCTTGCTGTTGATTACTTACTAGATAGCTTGATGAGTAAGCGTCTCAAATTGGATTCTGGAATAGTGTCAACTATAGTTGAGGTAAACTGTAACTGTGGTAGAGTAAATGGTGCTTTTTTGGCCTTCGAGTTCAGTGTGAAATTGGGCATAACCATTGAAAGAATTATGTATCTCGCCTTGGTTGGCGAACTTATTAGAACAAGTTCACTTTCAAGGGTTGTTGACATTGTTGAAGCAGTGGTCGGGGCAGGACTATCATTAGGGTCAGAACTAACTGCTCTTCTGATACATCGGCTTGGCTGCACTAGAGAGCCGACTTCTGCGGAAAAGTTATTTAGCATCTTACCTGATCAGCAGAAGAGTACTGCTGTATATACTGCTTTAATAAACAGCTACTTCACTTGTGGGAATGCGGAAAAAGGACTTGAAGTATTTGAGACCATGAGAAAGCAAGGGATAAATGTGGCATTAAGTACTTACTGTGTCCTACTGAATGGTCTTGAAAGAAATGGCTTATTTGATAAAGTACAATCTTATAGGAAAGAAAAGATGAGATTTAAATCTGAAATCTGCAGTCGAGAAATGTCTCTGGAAGAAAGAGTGTGTGATCTTCTTTTTGCTGGAAACTTAGTCGGTTGAGACAGCCTCTCTACGTTCACAAGATAGGGGTAAGGTCTGCATACGCACTACTCTCTCCAGACAACACTTGTGGGATTACACTGGGATTATTGTTGTTGTTAGTCGATTGTGACACAGGTCTCTAGACACTTTCCTTGAATGATTGGAGTATCTGGTTGACAAATTAGCCATTGTTTATAGCTTGAGTTGTTTTGGCTTTGCAGAAGTTAGCAAACACAAAGAAGTGTAAGCTTTTGCTTTCTATTGCATGGCCTAATTTGTCTACAGAAATGAGGTGTGCTCAAGAGAATATGCAGGAGAATTATCGCAGCTTATAGAAGACCACATGC